TTCAATCGGTTTGATGACAGGTACATGGGAAACAGGCCTAGTAACTCAAACTACCAGAGTAATGCATCGTCCCCTGCTGCATACATAGCATCAGCAAGAACACTGGAGGATCAAGCATGGTTTGCAGACTCTGGGGCCAGCAACCATGTCACAGCTGACAAAGGTAACTTAAATTCTAACAGAAAATATGAAGGCAATGAAAAGTTACTAGTTGGTGATGGTANCTGACAAAGGTAACTTAAATTCTATCAGAAAATATGAAGGAAATGAAAAGTTACTAGTTGGTGATGGTAATTCCCTAAAAATTTCTCATATTGGAAAAGGTAACATTTCTTCACTAAGTGATAAATCTCTTGCACTCAGTAAAATGCTACTTGTACCTGCAATCAAAAAGAATTTAATTAGCGTTTCTCAGCTTACAAATGATAATTGTGTATTTATGGAGTTCTACTTTGATTGCTGTATTGTTAAGGATCTCCAGACCAAGAGAGTTCTACTGCAGAGAGTGCTTAAGGATGGCTTATACCAGTTGACAGTACCAAGATCTACACCCAAACTCACAGCCAAAGAATTAGATCAAAATAATTCAAACTGTCTTCCATGTTTTACAGTGAATTCCAGTCATGTTGAGTCAATCAAAGGTGCTAAACTTCTAGAGCCTGATCTAAACATATGGCATAGAAGATTAGGTCACCCTTCAAATCTAGTATTATGTCGAGTTCTTAAGTCCTGTAATCAGAACACCAAACTTAATGAAATTCCTGCATTTTGTGAATCCTGTCAATTCGGAAAATCTCATGCTTTACCCTTCAATAAATCCGATTCACATGCACTAAAACCCTTGGATCTGGTGCATACAGACGTCTGGGGACCTGCACCTGTGACCTCTACATCTGGTTTTAGATACTATATTATCTTTGTTGATGATCATTCAAGGTTCACGTAGATCTATCCAATGAAATACAAATCTGATGCACTTACCATATTTGTCCAATTTAAAAATTTAGTAGAAAACCTGTTTGAAAGGAAAATAAAAATGTTGCAATCTGATTATGGAGGTGAAT